CAAAAACCAGGGGAGGTTTATAATGGGGGGTGGGGGGTAAGGAGGTTTACCTTTATAACTTTAATTTTTCTGAATAGCTAATAATAATGTTAATTATTTCCTGTTGTTTATTTTGGATCAGATCTTGTGCTTGGCACTTTATGGGAATTATTTCTTTGACTGGTTTTCAACAACACCATCAGGCAGGTCTATTATCTCCATTTCATAGATGGCAACCTACCTGGTGACATGAAACCTCTGCCAAAGTCATGCAAGTAGTAGAGACAGAGCCAGCACCATCCACACCTGTGGCCTTGGACTTGGTTTCTTCTGTGTAGGTGCAGATTTCATTAAGAAGGTAATGAGACAGAGAGCATGGAAAAATTTTGAAACACAGGAGTGACAAACTCATTCCTGGTCCAGGGTGTTTTTGCTTCCCTAGATGTTTGTGGAGTCAGGCGGGGATTGAGTAAGCAGGAAGAGTCAGTTGAAGCATTGGGGCCCTCAACGTACCACCTGTCCCTTTCCCTCTGAGCGTCTAATATGCGCTCTTCATTTGAGGTTTTCTTTTTCTTTTTTTTGGGGGGGGGTGTGTGTAGTGGGGTTTGAACTCAGGGCCTTCACCTTGAGTGACTCCACTAGCCCTATTTTTGTGAAGGTTTTCTCAAGATAGGGTCTCACAAACTATTTGCCGGGGTTGGCTTCGAATTGAGATCCTTCTGATCTCTGCCTCCTGAGTAGCTAGGATTATAGACGTGAGCCACCGGGCGCCTGGCTCATTTGATGTTTTCTGCTTACATATGTGAATTTAGGATTCCCACACTTTGGACAGAATCCTTGGCCTTAGCATTTAATAGTTGTGGGAACATGGGCAAAATACTCAAAACTTCCTAGTCTGTAAAATGGGGCACTATAAAAACATCTGCCTGCCTTGCAGGGCTGCTGTGGTAATGTGAGCTGGCTGTGGTTGCACACACCAGCAATCCCAGATAGTACGGAGGCTGAGACAGGAACATTGCAGTCTAAGGCTGGCTGGAGCAAAAGCACAAGACTCTAACTGAAAAGCAAACTAAAGCAAAAAGGGTTGGGGGCATGGATCAAGTAGTAGAGGACTAAGCCTGAGTTCAAACCCCAGTACCTCCCCCTCTGAAGATGTGAGATATAAAGCAGAGTTAATATCACTACTGAGCTTAATGAACGTGTTAGTTCTCACTACTTCTGAATTCCAGTGCACAATGTGCACCACCTTTGCCTCTCCCCTGGTGGTCCTCATCCCTCTCCAGCCATCCTGTCTGTTGGCAATTCTCCTCATCCATCAACTCCCATCAGTGCTACTGCTTGCCCAGGGTCCTCAGTCCTCTTCTTCTCTCCCTAACTCCTGGGTAAATCCTGTCCAATTTCCTGCCTTCTGTTATCTGCATATCTATCTGTTGAAGGCTGGTCCATAAATATGTCCAGCTGAGCTTCCTTAGTGAATAGATTTAATATTTGTAATGCCTGCTGGGTGTGTTCTCCTAGATAGATAGTGGAAAATTCAACTTCAGTGTCAGGAGGACATATCTTCTTGGCTTTAAAAGCAATTTCTTCTTCTAGCATTCTCTACCTTATTGAAATCCACCATCAGCTTCTAGCTCCTCAGGCCAGAAGCTCTTTCCACTCTTGCATTTCCAAATGTCAAAACCATTGAATCTTACTAAATCTATCTTCCACAATTTCCTCTACTCTATTACATCATCTCTGTCCTCTTCTACCATCAGTTCTGTAAAAAAAAAAAAAAAAAAAAATCCAAAAATCCAGGTCGAGATTGGGAAAATCAGGGTCCAAGCCAGCCTGGACCAAAAATCTTATAAGACCCCAATTCAATAGAAAAAGCTGGGAGTAGTGGTGTGTGCCTGTCATCCTAGCCATGGCGGGAAGTGGAAAACAGGAGGACCATGGTCCAGGCTGGCTCAGGCAGAAAGCAAGACCCTAACCAGAATAAAAAGGGCTCGAGGTGTGTCTTAAGTGGTAGGAGCAGCTGCCTAGCAAGTGCAAAGAACTGAGTTCAATCCTCAATACTGGAAAAAAAGAAACCAAAAACCAAAATCCAGTTCCTTAGCAGATTTTCCTGGAAGGAGGCTTGATACTATGAGAATTTTCAAGAGATTGTAAATTGCTTTTTACTTGATTTTCTTTTCATTGAAACTAATCTGAAAGTGGGGAACTCTTTATATATGTGAAATGATTGTATTTCAATACTGACTTAAAAAATTAGGTACTACTTTGCCCCAGTTTCTTAAACCAAAAAAGATATCCTAAAAGTTTCCTTATTAGGCCTAGGAAGTTTGGATTCACAGGATCGTGGTAGGAATGTCAACTTGTCTTCCTACTAAAAAGGTAGCAATGCTGTCACGGGACTGCCAGTGGTAGTTTGGGAAGTCTTGAAGGAATTGGAGAATTCCTCATATTCTCAGAGCAGTGAGAACCAGATTCTGTTGCCCTGGCCCTGTAGGGCAAAACCCCAGAGTGACTGCTGAAGAGGTAGGACAGGCAAGAGTGTCCTTCTAAGGTCTGGCTCCAGACTGGATGAGAGGGATTGGTCATATAGGTTATGTTTGCTCAGAAAGTATGTGTGTACACCCATTTGCACTGCCTCTCATTTCTTCCTCCATCCTTAAGGGGGCTTAGTGGAGAACCTGTAGAACTCTTTCATGGTCAAAGTTCAGAGCCTTTGTTGTATGGCAGACCTGGAAGAGAAAACAGGCAGATAAGACCCTGCCCTTGAGGGCTCTCCTCTGACAGGAAATCAGAAAAAGACTAAGCAGAGAGACTTTCTACTGTCCCACATGAGTCAAGAGAGTCCAGGGCCTGAGTTACCCAGTGTTCCTCCCTGTCTTCTTACACCCTATTCTTCCATACCCTGAGATCTTTTGTTTGGTAAGTTAGCACTCCAATCCTAGCAGGAGGGGCAGAAGTGGCCAGAAAGGTAAGAAGGGTGAAGGCAGAACATAGTCATCCCCAGGAAGCTAGGGACCCTTGAGTTGTCTCAGCCATGTCATGTACAGGCTGTCCTCCAATCCCAAGGTCAGAGAGATGTCTTGGATATCTTTGGCATTTTAAATTGGTTGGGATCTTGATTTTAAACCTGCCTTTGGGACGAGGCATGGTGGTGCATGTCTGTAATACCAGCTACGTGGGAGGTGGAAATGGGAGGATTGTGGTTCAAGGCCAGCTTGGACAAAGTTAGTGAGACCCTCTCTCAAAAAACAAGCCAGGCATGGTGGTACACATCTGTAATCCCAGCTATATGGGAGGTGAAGCTGGAAGGCTCTTGGTGAAAGGCTGGCCCAGGGCAAAAGCATAAGACAGTATCTGAAAAACAACTAAAAATAACTAAAGCAAAAGGGTTAGGGTGTGGCTCAAGAGGAAGAGGGCCTGCCTAGCAAAGGAGAAGCCCTGAATTCAAAGCCCAGTCCTGAAGAACAAATCAACAACCCAAATCAAAACCTGAACTAAAACAAAAATCAACAAATCTTAGTATTTGCCCATTTTCTGTTGTTATAATAAAATACCAGAGGCTGGGTACTTTATAAAGATGTGTGTTTGGCTCACCATTCTGGTGGCTGGAGGCCCAAACAGCATGGTGCTGGTGTCATAGCAAGTAGCCCCTGGCTGTTTTAATACAGTGGAGAAACAGAAAGGGAACTGGCCACATGCAGAAGGGGCCAAGCATGTGGGGTGACTTCATTTTTATAATAACTTGCTCTTGCCAGAACTAATTCCACAGGACTATCATCAATCCTTTCTGAGGGTGATGTGACTGTGACCTAAATATCTTGCAGTAGGCCCCACCACCTTTCAACATAGACACACTGGAGACATGAGCCTTTGGGGTACACAACCTCCAGCCCATGAATGGAGGAGGTGGGCATAATTCAGCCTATACCAAAGCCTAGTGGGAAAATGCCTGTAAGACTAGATGGGGGACCCGACAGAGAGCCTTGGGCGGGATAACGTCTCAAATGTCTACACAAAGCTCCTGTCTGCTTCTCAGGATGAGCAAATCTCGCTTTGTGGACCACGGCAGGGAATGATATCGCCAATATGTAGCATTGGGACAGAGGCCTAGGCTACCGCAGCTTCTGAAGTCCAGGTCCACCATCTGTCTAGCTGGCCCAAGACTGGGCTCAGGCCAAGGAAAAGCAGGACTGTCTGCACTGGCAGAATGCATGACCAGACTCACCAAAACTTTCCTTGACCTCCTGTCCATTCCTCTCCAGAACTGCCTCAGCCATTTTTTGGCCCAGTTGCATTGGCATCTTAAAAGAAAAAGTTAAGTGGGAGAGGGACGCGGAATGGAGCTATTGTCAACTGATGTATGACCCACGGAATTCAGAAAAAAATCACAGGAATAAGTGCTTACATTCCAAGGGTCTAAGAAGCCCAGGGCAAATCTCAGGTGTGTTAGCAAAAGGCTGGAAGGGTGGGAATGAGTGGCACCGGATATTCCCAAAGTGTCGCAGTTATGGCTAACATACCAGCGGCAGGAATCTAACATCTGCCAGGCAGAACCCAGACAAGAAGGGAAGGGCGACCATATAGGGCGGGCCGAAGTCCAGTAAAAGGGCCGCCCCGCCTCTCCCAGCCCAGGCTGGGAGCCGCACAGTCCGAGTGCTGAGCGATCCCTATGACCGAGTCCCGGCCACAAGCAATTGGGGATTTAGGCTCTACAAGCTTCTCACCCCGCGCAGACATCGGCAACATGCAATCCTAACGTGGAAAGGGCACAGGGCAGCACTAAAAAGTGGGCAAACACAAAGGAACAAGACTCGCATAGGCCGCATCCCGCGTTGCTGGTCAGCCGAGATTGAAATGCAGCGCTCGGAGAGCAAACTTGAGACTTGGGGAGTAACTCGGGTTAAGCTACACATCCGAACTTTATGCTGTTGGGAACGCCACTGTGCTGACCAGGCCTTCGTATGCCTCACGACATCACTTCCCATTGCATGGGATAATAGGGTACGCAGCCCTTTCACGTGCCGGCGTGGGTGGCTCTGAAAAGAGCCGTTGGATGCGATTGGAACGTCGAGGCGAGCACGAACGCAGTTAAGCCCTCTCCCCGCGGATGCGGCGGGCCAGCTGGATGTCCTTGGGCATGATGGTCACGCGCTTGGCGTGGATGGCGCACAGGTTCGTGTCCTCGAACAGGCCCACCAGGTAGGCCTCGCTCGCCTCCTGCAGCGCCATCACGGCCGAGCTCTGGAAACGCAGGTCGGTCTTGAAGTCCTGCGCGATCTCGCGCACCAGCCGCTGGAACGGCAGCTTGCGGATCAGCAGCTCGGTCGACTTCTGGTAGCGCCGGATCTCGCGCAGGGCCACGGTGCCCGGCCGGTAGCGGTGCGGCTTCTTCACGCCACCCGTGGCCGGCGCGCTCTTACGAGCCGCCTTGGTGGCCAGCTGCTTGCGCGGGGCCTTGCCGCCGGTGGACTTGCGAGCGGTCTGCTTGGTGCGGGCCATAGCAAAACAAAACCACCTACTCAGCGGCGACGCTGTGCGAGCAGAAACAGCGCCCGTCCGCCGCAGCAGGCTTTATAGGCACCGTCTTTTCGCGATTGGGCGGAAAAAGGAATTGAAAGTCGCGCGCTGGGCGTCCATTGGCTGTGACGTCGCACGGCCCCGCGCCAATGATTGGCTCCGGATGACTCCCGCCAGCCCCGCCCCCACGAACCTCACTTCCTACTTTCCACTTCGCCTGCACTTTTCCTACCTTGTTTGCGTGTTTCTTCCTGGGTGGGAGCCATCCTGAGCTGCTGCCTAGTTTGATCAGTCTTCTTCGGCCCTTGACTACAGGTCACCAGCGAAGCAGTATTCCTACTACAAGGCGTACTTTGCAGCACAGCGTAAGGGGATGGCGGGGGTGGGGCACACACCAATCGCCGCTGCGGAGCGCTTTAATGCCCCACCGAGTTTACTGAAGCTAAGATCCAGGCCGGCAGCCTCCCTAAAAATGCGCGTCTCTGCCGGCAGAGGCGACGGCGATCCTAATTTTAACCTTCCCTTCTCCCCCGACCCCGAACCTCGTCCTCAGCATCGGGTAAAGTCATAAGCAAAGGAGTAGAACGAAGGGTCACCGGGCACTCAGCAGGCTCTGCACAGGACGTCCCCCGGGGTGCCTGTGGCGCCGAGTGTCCACCATCCAGCTGATCCGCGGTGCTGGACAGCTGCGGTGCTGGGTCGCCGACAGTCGCCCCCCAACCCCAAAGCGCTTTCAGAGTTCTGCGCCCGAGGAGGAGGGAGCGAACAGACCTCACTCCCGCACCCCCGGGCTGGGTGCTTTCTACTGGGGAAGACACAAGAGCGGGAGCCGTGACAACTCTCAGTGTGAGACAGTGGGTGGCTCTGAAAAGAGCCTTTGATTTCGCTGGCGCCCTCGAGACGCGGGCTGGGCAGGAGGCGTCCACGCAGCAGCCTCACTTGCCCTTTGCCTTGTGGTGGCTCTCCGTCTTCTTAGGGAGCAGCACGGCCTGGATGTTGGGCAGAACGCCGCCCTGCGCGATGGTCACCTTCCCCAGCAGCTTGTTCAGCTCCTCGTCGTTGCGGATGGCCAGCTGCAGGTGGCGAGGGATGATGCGCGTCTTCTTGTTGTCGCGGGCCGCGTTGCCCGCCAGCTCCAGGATTTCCGCCGTCAGGTACTCCAGCACCGCCGCCATGTACACGGGCGCGCCGGCCCCCACGCGCTCCGCGTAGTTGCCCTTGCGCAGCAGGCGGTGCACGCGCCCCACCGGGAACTGAAGGCCGGCGCGCGACGAGCGCGACTTGGCCTTCGCGCGGGCCTTGCCTCCTTGCTTGCCACGGCCAGACATCACGCCGACGTTAGACACTACAAGATCCCGCTCCGCTGCGAGGCCCGCGCCACCCTTTTATAGGAAGACCCGGGATTGGCCACCGAGCGCTCTCATTGGCCCAAACGTACCTTCGTGCGGGTGACCAATAGGATCCCTCGGCCACCATCCGCTCATTTACATAACCTCCGTTTCCCCTCGCGCCGGCGCCGCTCAAAACTCGCGAATCACAACGCCGCGCCACCCAAACCCTAATTTGCGTGCGGCCTGTATAAGTAGCCGGTCGTTTCCCGTGCGCCCCTGTGCTCGCCTCCTACCTGTCTTTCCCGCTGCTCTTGGCCGCTTGTGTTGCCCTCGCTATGCCTGAACCGGCCAAGTCCGCTCCGGCTCCCAAGAAGGGCTCCAAGAAGGCCGTCACCAAGGCGCAGAAGAAGGACGGCAAGAAGCGCAAGCGCAGCCGCAAGGAGAGCTACTCCATCTACGTGTACAAGGTGCTGAAGCAGGTGCACCCCGACACCGGCATCTCGTCCAAGGCCATGGGCATCATGAACTCCTTCGTCAACGACATCTTCGAGCGCATCGCCGGCGAGGCGTCCCGCCTGGCGCATTACAACAAGCGCTCGACCATCACGTCCCGGGAGATCCAGACGGCCGTGCGCCTGCTGCTGCCCGGCGAGCTGGCCAAGCACGCCGTGTCCGAGGGCACCAAGGCCGTCACCAAGTACACCAGCTCCAAATGAGTCCCGCCTGCACTTGGCACCCTAAAGGCTCTTTTCAGAGCCACCCACCTTCTCAGTGAAGATGCTGTCCTTCCTTAGTCCCACCTGTTTCATGCTTTTCCTGTCACTTGCACTCCCCAGTCCTGAGTCACTGATCCCCTCACTTCTTTCTTTTGCCCAGAATTGTTTGTGACTCTGAAATATAAAATCAGGTTCATTTATTACCTTCCTCATTTGGTATTCTGTGTGTTTTTTACGTAAATATGTAAAATAAGGGTGGAAGATAATTTTCTCATCAGAATAAAACTTAACCAGTTCTAAGTGAGTCCTGCACTTGCACTCTGGCCCTTTATCTCTACTTTTCAGAGCCACCATCTTCTCAGTGTAAAGCTGTCCTATCACAGCCTATCCAGACAACCGTATCCAGACAAAAAGTAGACTAGCCTCAAAGGTGCTGGAGATATAGGTAGTGGAGGGACCTTAGGGCACCATAAGTATGGTGTGGTTTGAGGCTTTCGCTTTGCTTCTGTTCATAAAATGTGCTCCCAGACACATTGTTAGTGAAATTTTTATGATAAGCTTGCTGAAACTGAATGAAACAAGTCCTAACAATCTAGTGTTACTCATTGATAAAACAGTGGTGAGACTTTTTTTGGCCATTATTCTGGTGTGTACTAAAAAGAACAGTTGAATTTTACTACAAATTTCTTGAACGTATCTTCACAAGCACTCCATTTAGGTGGGTATTCCTCGGTGAGAGAGATGGAAGTTTGACTTTGATACCTGAAAATTATCTGACAAAATGTTTGAGTCATTTTTTCCTCCTATTTGAAATAGTATAAAATCTACTTAATACATGGTAAGAGTTTTCCCCCGAGAATTATCACTCATTAAGTTTAAGGGTTAGTTCCACTCACTGTCAACAACATAAACTCAGAACCTCCAGTTGGGAATTCTTGAGAAAGTGGCCAAATATGGCTGGAGGGCAGTCGATTGGTTTCATTTTGAGTGCTTTGGAGACTTTGGGCCTGTTTTTGGGAGGAATTGAAATAATAACCTCAAATCTTAAATAAAAACTGGTTGCTTTAGGAATCATTGTTCCTTTGCTGACCATAATAGAAACAAGGAAACCAGTTAGGAAATTGTCGTGGTGTTGGCATGGAAAGTGAGTTAAAGTCTGGTCTCCAAGTGAGCAGAATTAGCATTGCCTAAGGGTTTTTTTCTTTTTTTTTAAAGTAAGATTTCTGCTGAGTGCTGGTGGCTTGCACCTGTAATCCTAGCTACTCAGGATGCAGAGATCAGGAGGATCACTGTTGGAAGCCAATCTCAGACAAATAGTTCTTGAAACCCTATCTCAAAAACCCATCACAAAAAAAGTGCTGGTGGAGTGGCTCAAGGTGAAGGCCCTGAGGTCAAACCCTAGTACTGAAAAAAAAACAGAAAGATTTCTTTGGTCTCAGTTAATGTGTGTTAAAGTGTCTGGGTGATACAGATGTATGCCAAAGCTGATTTATCCTCTATATTGTTTTGAACTGCAATGTGTGATGTAAAATTAGAAATTAAGATTGGAATAAAAGAACCTGCTTGCTAATGGCTTAGTGAAGAAGCTGTCCTTCAGGTATCAAGTGACATCAGAAGTACTTGGTGAATAATGCCAACGAAATTGATGTAACTTGTGGATTTATTTCAACAAATTCTGACATTGTAGAAAGACACAAGCATGTCCATCTATGTTTCTGACTTAGGTTGCTCATGACAGAGACAAGAATGATTATAGGCAAGATGCAGAGGAAAGCACATTGCCAGGGAATCAGGACATGGATTTTACCTGACCTTAGAATCCTGCTGTAGCTTTCAGACTTCCAAGTAAGCTAGTTTGCCTGACATAATTATCTTGCTTACTTTGAATCTTGAAATATTTTAGGAAAATAACAGTTCCCCACAATAAAAGAAAAAATGATGCTACAACTTTTATATTGAAAGGTCTCACAGAAGTCAAATAGGGTTGAAAATAACAAATTGAAGTGCTCTGAGTAACTATCTGGGCCAAACCTCTAAAAGTTAAAATCACTCTAAGTGTTAAAACTAGGGCCAAAGATTAATATTAACACCATAGAAAGTTTCAGACTAAAGAACAGTAAATCTGAAACTTGAAAATTTTAAAGTAAAAATGTAATTCTCTTAAAAATTTAAGCAGTTGCATTAGTTTCCCAGGGCTGCCATAACAAAGGACCACAAAGTAGATGGCATAAAACAATAGATGTTTGTTTTCTCATGTTCTAGAGGCTAGAGGTCTGAGAGGACCATGTTTCCTCCAAAGTCAGTAAGGGAACAGCCTTATTTGTCTTTCAGTGTCAGTAGCCCCAGGTGTTCCTTGGTTTTCTGCAGCATAACTCCAGTTTCTCTTCAGCTCTTTTCAGTCTTCTTCCTTTTACTCTGCCTTCTTATCAGGATACTGTCATTGGGAGGGTATTTGGAAAAGGGGTATCTCCCAATAGAAGAGAAAAACTCTACTTGATTTTCCATGCCCACTGTGATCCCCGAGGAACTTAAAGTAATGACAAAATGAATTTTGAAGTAATCCACAAAGGAGGCACGCAAAATAGCATAGCAGGCCAGCAGAGATTTATTTAGCATAGGAAGAGCAGAGCAATGTGAAAGGAAAGAGGGAGAAAAATAAGCTAGCAGGGTGACAAGTGTGACTGAAGGTGGGAGCAAGGGAACTCAGTGGATGGTTTTCATGCCAGGGTATTTATGTCCTCTAACTGGGCTGAGCTTCCTTTTCAGAACTGGTCACCTGGAATTATGGTTACCTAGTATCTTCCCAGTTATCCTGTTTTGGTATCAAAACATCACTCAACCTAGACACAAAGGGTCTGAGCTGGCCTTACAGCAAAAGGTTTTGTGACATGGGGGGTATGTGACCTTTATGGTCCTTTTTAGAAATTCTTCTTGGTCACAGATTTGCAAAAACCAACATTTTATATTTTCAGACCTAATTACTGCTCTAGGGCAGTGTACCTTATTAACATCTAAGAGAGAGGGAGAGTGGTGGAAAGAATGCAGGTCTGTTCATTCTTGAACAGTTGTTTTAATTCCTTGAGGTTCTAGTGATTTTCAGCCTTATTTCCTGGTTATGTCTTAGCTCCTGAAAGACCCAGCTTAGTTTTTGATATATGTTCTAATTTCCCTGTCACCTTGCCCTAGCTATTCTGCTTCAATACCAGTCATATTGGATTGGGTCCCCCCATAATGACCTCATTTTAACTTTATTACATCTGCCAAAACCCTAATTTCAAATAAAACAAAATTCTAAAGCATTGTGGGTTAGACTTAAACCAATCTTTTGTGGAGATAAAGTTCAACCCTGTTGTACTCAACAACTGGGTTAGTTGAATAATGGCCCCCAAATATGTCCAAATCCTAATCCTCAAAAACCTGTGAATATTGCCTCGTATGACTAAAGAGATTTAGCAGATGTGATTCTCAGATTGAGAGATTATGCTGGATTATTTTCTGGGTAAGCCCCAAATGTAATCACAGAGTCCTCATAAGACAGATGCAAAGTCAAGGGAGGAAGGAAGTAATGGAAGCAGAGAGAGTTTTGAAAATGACAATGCTAGTTTTGAAGATGGCGTAAGCCAAGAAATATCCCTTTAAAACCCTGCAAAAGTAATGGAACTAGGTTCTCCACCTCAGCTCTGGAGGGAGCACAGCACTGATTTCTACCTAGTGAAACTAATTTTGGATTTCTGACCTCCAATACTGAACAAGAAGAAATGTTTGTTTTAAGCCGTCATGATTGTAGTGATTTGTTACAGCAGTCATAGGAAACTATTATAATACAACAGTTATGTAGGCTTTGTTTTGAATTGGAGAAATTTGAGATTAGATTCTGTATTAGTTAATATTGAATCAATATTAAATATTGAATTAATATTAAATATTGAATTAATATTAAATATTAAATATAAATCAATATTAAATACCATTTAATAATGGTATTGCAGTTTGTTGGAGAATATCCCTTCTAAGAGAGATATGCCAGAGTATTTAGGGAGAAGTAACAACATATTTACAGGTTATTTTCACATGGTTCAGAGCTTGTGGTGTGCATGCTTGTGCACGTGTATAAAGAGTGAAACAAAGCAAATCAGCAGATAGAAACGATTGGTGAATCCATAGGAGGTTATAGTCAAATACTGAGACCAAAGCTGAGGAATTCCTAGGAAAAATAATATACCTGGACATGTTATGGAGATTCTGAATGCTTCCAGAAAGAAAGGGTAGATATGTACCCAAGGTCCAGAATCAGACTAAACCAGATCTCATAAAAATCTAACCCCTTTCTTTTTCGTGAATTCTAGATTCTCATATCCCCAACTTCTTATTTGATATTTCTACCTGGAGACCTAATAAGAGTCTCAAAACTTTGTTCAAAACAGCACTTTTGGTTTTCCTTTTCCAAACCTGTTCTTCACTCTTATCAGTAAATGGCTAAATAGTAAACCCTGAGGGAAGGGGTAGCCTGAGTGTGGTCATGACCCTCCTGTTTCCCAACCCAGACCCCATTCCCAGTGAGGGCATGGGCCTGATACAGTGGCAAGTGCCACTTGCCTGGCCTGGCTTATTCCAAGTGCCCAGTCCAAAAATCTGCAATTAATCTTTGATTCCTTAATTTGTCATAGCCTACACTCCACTAATTTTGTTAATTTTAACCCCTTCCATCTCTCTTGTGGACTTTTAAAATTTTTTTATCGATTTTAAAATTTACTTATATGTGTATACATTATTTGGGCCACCTCTCCTCCCCACCCCCTTTCCAGGCAGAACCTGTTCCGCCCTCTTGTTCTCCAGTTTTGTTGAAAACATAAGAGGTTATAAGAAAGTCATAGCATTTTTGATAGTTTGAGGTAAAGATAGCTATACAGAAAGATTCCTAGCATTGCTTCCATGCACATGTGTATTACAACCCACATTGGTTCATCTCTACCAGACCTCTTCATCACTTCCCAGTCACCTTCCCACAGTGGCCTCTGTCTGTTTAAGATTACTACATTTGCTCATCTACAGTGAGCACATAGATCACATTCAAGTTTTAGGTTTCCTTCCCTTCCCCTATTCCTCCTGTGAGCATTCTCCCCTTAGCGTGTGAGCCATATCCAATAATATTACTGCATTTGTGTTAGGTTTATAATGCGCATATGAGTGAGGACATATGATTTTTGG